ATCAACGCAGTGGCAAAACTGATGATAGTTTGATAAATCAAAGCTCCAATACTAATGAGCTTGCCTTCCTGAATATAATTATTCAACGTTGGTCTCTCCCTCCTAAATTCACTAAGATGATTCGTCGGTAACAGACGAGCTGAAATAAAGTAGTGTCACGCCTTCGATGGTGAACTTAACTTTGAAGTGGAAAAGTTGACTCTACTCTCACTTGTAATTTTCCAGTCCCCTTCCAATAGTCAAATATGAAATAATATCGTCCAATTCCATCTCAATCAGACTATAGTTCGCATAAAAACATAAAATATCAGGCGGTAAATGGTATAACATAATGATTACCTCGGGTGAAAAAGGTATTGAAAAAGGTACCAATTTGCCTTTGACCATGACTCGATCCTCTTCTGCCTCAGGAAGGTTTGCATAAAACTCTCATACTACAGATATCACAGCCACAACAAAAAAATAACAGAATTTTTCCCATTGTCGGCGAACGGTCAAATCTTCCATGGATCCACCTGAATTTTTAAAACACCTCTTAGGAATCAATTTTCGTGACTGTAGAGCGTCACTATATCTGTCCCAAGCTTTTGAACTCACAAACTTGCTCGAATTAAAGTTGGTCTTTCCCTTACTCCTTTTCATTCTTGCGGTCATTCTACAAATTTCACAAAATTCCATAATAACATCAAAAATCAAGTCTAATCGATTAAACTTAACTCCTATAAGCATAAACTACACTTTCTATGCAATTTATAAAGATTTTTCTTCACTTTTCATCATGCATAGTGGTTTTCATTTTTTTCCAAATGTACTCAAAATACATGGTGAAAATCTAAAATTTCTACATAGAAGTGAAGCTCTTACCTTAAGAAATCCAAATCTAGCAAATTTGGCTCAAATCCACCAAGAAATCTCCCTGAAAAGGTTTGCCCTAACTTCAAAATCATGAACTCGAGAGGAAGAAGCAATGCAGGAGTAAAAATGATGATTTTCGGGAACAAGTTTTCGTGAACTGGCGCTTAGGCGCCTGCTTCTCGGGTTACATCGCGCTTAATAGCGAGAATCTGGCGCTTAGGCACCAGAGCACGATTTTTGATATTTTTGAACTTAAGTAAAATGCACTATTAGCCTAAGTATACCACTCCTAAATGGTCATACAACACTTAATTGACTATTTTCCTCTCCTCTAACTCTCCTCTCTCTCAAAATTCTCTAATATAACTAATTCGATTCAAGGCTAAAATAACACAATTTTTTACACAAACAAACACATTTATTCATTTACGAACTATTAAAAAGAACATTCAACACATAATTCTCATTCCAAAGAGTCTCGAATGAGAAAATTTTCCTAAATACAAACACTAAACAAACATACTCAATTAAACACATAAAAGACATAAACAATAAAAACAAGATTTAACACTAACACATAAAAATAACGACTCCTAGCAAACAAAGTCTAACACTGATTTAACACTAACACATAAAAACAACGACTCCTAGCAAACAAAGTCTAAAAATGAACTTAATTTCATTCTTCATTTGTTGGAACAAATTCCTGTCTTTCATTAGTCTCTCCTTGGGCATTC